GCCAGGCCAACCCAAAATATTTTTATCCGACATAAATCAAGCATAAAAAGTGGCAACAATGGCACTTAAAAAGAGTTAGAAAGTGACAGTCATGCCATAAAGGCAATGATATTCCTCAAAGACAACATATATAGGTAAGTGAACTGATATGTCCTACTGTCCCCAGTTGAGGCTATGAAACCTTAAATAATATTCCAATATGCTCATATAAAGATTCCACAAAGCTAAAACAACAATAACAATAAATAGTAATGATAATGATAATGGAAGCTAATTACAGAAAGGAAAAAAATGATACCTTTAAATCTAATAACAAAAGGTATTTTGTGATGACCCATAGTCTGACATTAAAAAAAAAACAAAAACCTATGCCATTAAATCTTTCTTCTGAAAGGAATGAGTAAAAACAATCATGAAGTAAAAATAGATTCCAATTTATTATTTAGCATTCTAGACACTTACCTTTTACGTATTATTACTACCTCTATATTTTTCCCGAATTGAATTTCAGATTGTTCCTTACCCATTTTCCATCTAAATTAAATAAAAACAAGTATGAGACAGTCATATAAAAAGGATGACACCCACAACCCAAAACCTTCTAAACTTTTTAAAGCATCAGATTCAATTTTCATAATTCATAATTTAAAACATGAGAAATAATTATGTACGATTTTTAGTATTTGTATTCTTTCCCAGAGAGATACTAATCTTAATCTCCAAATTTCTAAATTGGTCTAAACTATATTCCTAGGGTCTCAGATGATAAAAGGAAACTTCTATAAGAGATCAGAAGGATTTTGAAAAATCATTTCAGAAACCCAAAATACACTGATGTCAATATAAAAAATGGAGCCAAAAAAGAATATCTACTATTTCTGTGCCATTTTTGCTTTGAATCAAGGACATTTACAGACAACTAAGAGTACTTATTTACACCCAATTTGCAGCCTAATTATATTAGAATAGAACTTTGTTCTAAGGAACATAAGGAGTATAATATAATACAATTATATTAGTTCGTAATCTAATGAAAACAGAAAAATTTTTAATGTTAATAATGCATTTAAATAGTCATTAAAAATAGTAACACAACTAACTACACATCTACAAGTTCTAAGAATATTTTGATAGCATCCCTGAAGTGGCTTCTGTCAAACAAAAAATAATATAGAATGGTCCCTGGAGAGAATGGAGGTGGTTTTGAAAAGTTGAATAAAGTGAAAAAAACATGCTACTTCAGAACTAGGAAGTAAACAATGTTTAGGCGAGGCAGGTAGGGACGAACAAGGAATGAAAAGTTTCCCTAACCAAAACACTCATTAGTGATCTACCTAAACAGAAGTATAAGTTCAACAGTAAAAAGTCTTACTGGTAAGAAAAGAAAGTATAGTAATCCAAACAATGTTAGTAAGATAATAGTTAAAAAAGAAAAAAAAGTACCAACTTGACTATTTCACTGGCTTCTTTAGCCCTGGTAACACTTGGCTGCCCTCCTCATCCAATCTAGTTTTAATTTATCACTCAGTCACTTCAGCTCTGTTCTTACAAAATACCCTAGATCCTGTCAGCCCCGTTACTCTGTCATATCCACCCACCAAGGCTTACCCTAGTTGAGAGTGAGCTTAGGAAATCAAATAGATCTAGGATCAAAGCCATTAGGCCTTGGGTACCTGACTTCATTACTCAAAGCCCATTTCCTCACCGGTAAAGTAAGAATTGCATCACTTACCTGAAATAAACATAGATGGAGTACTTGGACATAATCTATACTGATAATGTCCTATCTACTGTTATTCGCTCAATCAACTTCACTACCTGCCATTCCTAAAACAACTAGTGTGATAACTCAGTTACAAATTTTCTCTACACATTCAAAATCCCCAACCCTCTCTGCAACCTCCTTCTTACTTGCTCTCTCAAGAAGTAACTTCTTACCTATACAAATGGCCCCTGACTTACAAATGGCTGAACTTACAATTTTTTGACTTTAGGATATGCTTATCAGGATATTAAATGCATTTTGACTTACAATATTTTCAAGTTAAAATGGGTTTATCGTGGTGTAACCCCATCATAAGTCAAGAAGCATCTGTATTCCTCAAAAGACAGCTATTATCAAACATGAGTATCCTCTTCAAATTAGTTACTACACTACATGAATACTAGAGTACAGCCTACAACAGGGATCACTTCCTCCTCCAAACCACTTATTAACACTTATAACATTATAACTGAGCTACTCAACTGCAACTTAACAAATATTATTTTTATTATCTTATATAGACATAACCTGTCTCCCAATTCAATAAATTCTTAGATGTAGGTCTTATATTTTCAGTGCTTCTTAGATACCCAACACTTACTGAATAATACATATTCAATAAAGAGCTAATGATCTTCCAGCTTCCAAAGCTTACCAGTGTTAACAAAAAACTGAGTGACTGAGGGAAGTGTCTCAACCAGCAGAGGTTTATCGAGTCACACTTTGAGGACGCTCCTGGGGAAAAACAAGCCCACAGAAGCATCTGTGACCAAAGAGGGCTTTGGCAACTCAGTATTCTAGGGGAGAGCATGCAGGAGTGAAAAACGGTGGGAGGGAAGTAGGCAGTGAGGCAAATGGTTACATTCTCCTGAGTACCTTTTCTGATAGCATAGTTACTGATTAGCAAAAATGTTATATGTTCACAAAAGAGTAATCAAAACAATGAGAGAACCTGAAATTATGAGAACTAGCTGAAGAAACTGGGGACTAGGAAAAAAATAAATGGTGGAGAGGGAGTGAGGGGAAGGACTGTTGAAAGGGAGAGATTATCCATGTAAAAGTGAAGAAAAATGAACTAATGAATGGTTAAAAATAGAGGAAGATTAACTTCAACTTAAAATAGGAACTTTTAATGAGACCTATTTAAATGTGGAATGAGGCGTTCAGTGGAAGTGCTTCCCATCGCTGGAGATGAAAAAGCACAGGCTGAACAATCCACTCAGCAGGAATGATTTAGGATAAACTGAATGTCAGATGGGAAGTAGGACTGGAAGCCTCTTAGATTCTTCCAGCACAATGTCTCTAAGGCTCTAAAATATCTCTCTTGCTCCAAATCACTGCAGCACCTGCTCCTATTGACACTGTCAACGGGAGAAAGAAGAAAAAGATGCATTCTTGTAATTCTGTCATCAGAGTACATATCCTGTGGAAACAAGGCTGTAGAGAGTTAGTACAGTTTATGGAATCAGACACAAAGTTAAATATAACTTTTATGATTCAAATGTCAGTCAATATTGTCACCATGGTAGAAAATACATCCTACATTCCAAATTAACTCAAAACAAATTTGTGTTTATGAGGGAGTCCACTTGTATCACCTTCCACGCTGTATTATTATTTCATGTATGCTAGGTTTTGCTTCCCTGAAGTCTAACTTCGTGTAAACCGAGACTATTGTTTAGGTTCTTTTTTTTTTTTTTTTTTTTTTTTGAGACAGAGTTTTGCTCTTGTTGCCCAGGCTGGAGTGCATTGGTGTGATCTCGGCTCACTGCAACCTCCGCCTTCTGGGTTCAAGCGAGTCTCCTGCCTCAGCCTCCTTAGTAGCTGCGATTACAGGCGCCCGCCACCACGCCCGGTATTTTGTGTATTTTTCATAAAGACGCGGTTTCACCATGTTGGCCAGGCTGGTCTCAAACTCCTGACCTTAGGTGATCCGTCCGTCTCGGCCTCCCAAAGTGCTGGGATTACAGGCGTGAGCCACCGCGCCCAACACTGTTTACGTTTTTGCGTGACCCGCAGATCTTTATCTCGCTGCTTGAGTAACAATTCTGCTACACTAACAGATAAACTCAGTAGACTGTCAAGAAATTTTGTAATTAACTGCAGACAGAGCATTTAGTGAGTTACCGCACAGACTCTTCAATTTTCAGTCGTGCTCTGACTGGCTCCCTGTGTAAACTCAGGTCAGTCATTTAACCTCTCTAAGCCTGTTTTCCTATCTGCAATATGGTGAAAGTGAGGATCATGGAAAATATTCCATATAAAAGTACCTGGCATGCAGTAGATGCTCAGTAAATGCTTAGTGTAACGCTCAGCACCTAAGTGTCATGTGAGTATTAAATAAATCTGTTCCTTATTACAATTATCTTATGCAAAAAAAAACCTGCCAGATACTAGCATTCAGTTGAATTATGTTAAGTAACTAGTACAACTCCTCTTTTTACTGTCAGAATATTAAAACTACTGGTGTGATGTGCAAATTATATACTCGAAACTAGATACTGAAATTGGAATTTGGCTTTGGGACAGAAATCTGCTTCTTCCAGAACTCTCCAAAGGAATTCAACAGTCAAAAGAGACCGGTTTTTATTCTGCAGCAAAACGATGATATTCTGAACCTACGCCAACTAACTGAATACGTCGCAGAGCCCATTTCCCCCTCCAGTTTCGCTTATCTCCTTTGCTCTCTGAAGGCAAGGAACAGCTATGCTTTCCCCCACCTACAGCCTGAAACTTCTTACTAGGCCCCGCTCCTCGTCCCATGAGAGCACAGTAAATCCTGACTGCACAGGGTAAGAGAAGCTATAAGATGAGACAGACTAGAGATTTCCCTGGGAAGGTATTCGAGGGGCTCTAAGGTATTCTCGGCGCACCTGAGGCGATCCACCCAGAGGCCCCACAAGGAACCGCCCTATTGAACTTAAGTGACAGCCGCGCCGCCACCTCATCGCCGCCCAGTTCACGCTCTCGCAGAACACTCAGTCACGCTTGCGCGGCTCAAAACGAACAGCCCCGGCCCCGATCCTTTCTTTCGCTAAGTACCATTTCAATCGCCTTTATGATCCCTTGTGCAAAAGCGACAGAGATCCGAACCCACCTGGGACAGATGCTCCTCTTCTACAAATGCCGAGTCTGCAATGAGAGCGCATGCGCCTTTCCCAGGAATCATTCACGTGACTGGAAGTGGCTGGGTTCTGATTTGCTCGGTATTTGATTAAAAAGCCTTAATGTGGGTAAAAGCGGGGATTTCTCTGTTGCGCATGTGCGCGCTCTCAGCCTGATGGGAGTTGTAGTTCTGCGGGTGAAGCCCGACGTTGCTATCAAGAAACCAAACTGCAAGCTTTGGGAGTTGTTCGCTGTCCCTACCCTGCTCTGCTAGGGAGAGAACGCCAGAGGGAGGCGGCTGGCCCGGCGACAGGCTCTCAGAACCGTTACCAGGGATGCTACTGCTGTGGATGTCGCTGGTCGCAGTCTCGGCGCTAGCGGTACAGGCCCCCGGAGCAGGGGAGCAGAGGCGGGGAGCAGCCAAAGCGCCCAACGTGGTGCTGGTCGTGAGCGACTCCTTTGTAAGTACCGCGAGGCAGGGGAGGGGCGCCCCGCTAGGGACCGGAGACCTCCCCGCCGCCGCCTGTGCTGCAAGCTTTGGGTAGCAGAACCTGAGACATTTTCAAACACCTTTCACCCCGATGCAAAGAAAGAAATACATTTTATGTGAGGCCCCGTGTACTCACAAGCACACCACATACCTGTGCAAGCATGTAAAACAATAGTGAAACACTGAAAACATCTTTGCAGATTTTTGTTTTTAATACTGACCTCGATTCGCTAAATTATTTTACCACTACTAATGAACTTTCAGTCTATACCCTGGTTTGGTTTAATTGTGTGGTAAAATAACATTCTGCATCTCCATAAAAGCGTGTTAGCTTTCCAAAAGTCATTTCCCAGTTCACCTCAAGTTTGCATGAATTCATATTTGGTTGAGAAGTGAAGAAAGTTTATTTTTATTATCCAGATTTGTGATAATCCTGTTAGTGCTGATTCAAATGGAATCGTTGGTATAACTTGATTCACTCCCCCGTATTCCAGAAAAATTTTGCGTGTGTGTGTGTGTTGGTAATGTGGCCGAATCCCAAACTTAAACAGTTTCTGAAACTTTCCCAAGCCAAAGGTGCTACTGTCAACCTTACCCGAAGCTTTTAGGATGATACATGTTTTAAAAAGTGCTGCTTAGACAATTGTTTGGTTATTAATTGTAATATTAGTTTATTATCACTCGGTGTTACTGTGGTCACACAGAGGTTGGTGTTAAGCATATCTGGCACTAAAGAGTGTTTGCAATCATATGTTGTATTCCCTTTCTCATAGATTAACCCGTGATGATTAAAATTGCATAGTCTGGATGTGCCTGTGAGATTTTTTGAAAATATTAAAGTTATCTTTGTGATTTAAACTTAGAGAATGGGCGGTACTGGAAATTGACTAGGTGGCATTTTATTACAGAGTGTTCTTGTAATCAAAGACGAATGAAGGAAGCAGGATTGTGCAGAGGAGAAGCTGAATTTTGTTGCTATCTTATGAATGACAGTTCTCAAACTAATATGGTGCTTCAGAGCTGCTTTCCAGTTGGAGTGAGGGGAACAGACCTTTCTACCTGCATGTTGGATGGCCACTGATTGTGGGCTGCTCCTAGAATGGGGCATGATGTTGGGCAAAGCAGCGGTCTTCAGCAGAGGCAATTGTTCATTCCTAAAATGGAATTCGGATGTGGATCACAACATCCCAGAAACTTCCAAAGATGACTGAGATATTTAGGTTTGTTACTTTTTTAGTATAGTATGAGTGCATAGATTTTTCTATATTTGCTTACATTTTTGGCATTCACATACTTGTTAGTATTCAAAGTGTCCTATCTTTGGCCAGTGGAAGCCCCTTCAGGTGGTTCTGAGTCCTTTTGACCCATCCCCATTAGTATTTGACAGCTTGCTTTAACAGAGTTAAGTGTCCACAATGCGTATTTCCTGCCCCATCTTGTATTTAGAGACCACAATCTGAGTGTTAGGGTTTTCATTGCATCTAGATCTTTCCAGTGGACAAATCTAGAAAGTACATATATTTTAGAAAGAGAAAAATAAATTGTGAGATTATATTGATACTTTCTATTCAAATTTATGAGTTTATTCTTTAATTTTTATAGTTATATCTTTTTTGTCTTATGCCAAATATTTTGGTCTAAACACATTAATACAATTACTTATTTGCTTTTTCCAAACATATAATATGTATATATCAATGTGTTTGAAAATAAGACAGTAATATTACTAGAAATAATGCTAGTCCTGAGTGGAGCTTACAGTTTCTTTCAAGTTTTTGTTTTAGGTATATTCAACTATATAGTAAAAAGATTGGTCTTTAAACTTAAAATAATTCCTCTCTCTATGATTATACCAGTTTGGTATGCTGTTAGATTCTTGACACTGATTTATCATTTCTAAAACTCTACAGGCTAAGATAGAGCAGTTGAGCTGATAATAATTGTAGGAAGAAGATAGCACATTTGTTTTACATTCAGGATAGCAACGCAGGAGCTTTGCAGACCGACTCCCAAGAAAACAAGCAAAACAAATGAAAACACTTTCTACATAAAAACTATTAAATATTTGAAACATATAAAGTGTCTGGAAATTGTCCTAAGGGCATACACCAAATGAAGAAACATGCATTCAAGAAAACCCACTAAAACTTGGTAAGAACAGCGAGAAGAGTCTGTGGCAGTGAACTATGGCTTTGACGGAGGTTTCACTCACGTGGGTGTGGCCAAGAAGATAGGACTCCTTCTCCCCGCAGCTCCCAATGACTGGTTATCATATCTCACTAGAAGGGACAGGCTGTGAGGATTTCTCATCTTCTCCTAATCCAGGTTGGAGGGGTTAAATTCCTAATGAACGCAGCTGAGAAGTTGAGGGCTCCCTTACTTCAGCCAGCCCCCACTTACAGGACAGAGGCTTAATGCCAGGTGCGGAAGCTTGAGAATACTAGGACCCTCATTGCCCTGGCCCTAGCTCTGTAGTAGGGCAGAGGTTCCATACCAGGAGAGACAAGCTGAGAAGACCAAACAAGCTTCTGCAAAGCAAGCAGAATGGAGGAAATAATAAGGATTAGAACAGAAATTAAGGAAACAGAGGATGGAAAAATAGTAGAGAAAATCAATGAGACAAAAAATTGGTTCTTAGACAAAATCAGCAAAATTGACAAACCGTAGCTACACTGAACAAGAAAAAAGACAAAAGAGCTAGATTACTAAAATCATGAAAGAGAATGGGATACATTACCTTAAGAAATAAAAGAATTACAAGGGAATACTTACATGTAACAACTGTATATCATCAAATTAGATAACTTAAATGAAATGGACAAATTGCTAGGAAGGCAGAAACTACTGAAACTGACTCAAGAAGAAATAGGCAATCTGAATAGACCTATAAGAAGTAAAGAGAGTAAACTGGTAATTTTAAAACTACCAACAAAGAAAAGCACAGACCCAAACAGTTTCACTGATAAATTCTACCAAATACTTAAAGAATAATTAATATTAATTCTTCATCTCCTTTTCCAAAAATTAGGAGAGAACACTTCCAAACTATACGACCAGATCGACTAGGCACAGTGGCTCACACCTGTAATCCCAGCACTTTGGGAGACCGAGGTGGGTGGATCACCTGAAATCAGGAGTTCGAGACCAGCCTGGGCAACATGGTGAAACCCCGTTTAATTATACAAAATACAAAATTAGCCAGGTGTGGCAGACACCTGTAATCCCAGTTACTCGGGAGGCTGAGGCAGGGAGAATTGCTTGAACCCAGGAGACAGAGGTGCAGTGAGCCGAGACTTGCCATTGCACTCCAGCCTGGGCAACAGAGCAAGACTCCATCTCAAAAAAACAAACAAACAAAAAAACAGTTTTTGCCTGATTCCAAAGCCAGGCATACATCACAACGAAAGAAACCCACAGACCAGTATCCCTTAGGAATATAAGAGCAAAGATCCTCAACAAAATGGATTTGGCCCTCCATATTTACAGGTTCTGAATCCGCAGATTCCACCAACCTCAGATAAAAATATATGGTATTTATGGGATGTGAAACTCACAGAACTTGACTTTTCCTATCCATGGGTTCCTCAGGACTGACTGTGGGACTTGAGCTCGCAAAGATTTAGTATCCTAGGGAGGAATTGGAAACAATCCCCTGCAGATACCAAGGGATAAATGTACTAGGAAACCAAATTCATTAGTATATAAGAAGGATTATTCATTACCAAGTGGGATTTATCTCCAAAATGTACAGTGAGTTTACTATCTGAAAATCAATTAATGTAATACATCATATGGACTGAATAAAGGACAAAACCCATGTGATCATCTCAATAGATGCAGAAAAAGCATTTGACAAGATTTAACAATCCTTATGCATTCAACTGGCTAGAAATAGAAGGGAACTAAAAGGCATCTACAAGAAAAAGCCAGAACTTTACACTGAATGGTTAAAAGAAAAAAGAAAAAAATCAGTTTTCTGACTAAGATCAGAAAGAAGACAAGGAAGTGTGTTCTCACCACTGCTATACAGCATTATACTGGGGGTTCTAGCCACAGAATTAGAAAAAAAGATTAAATAAAAGGCATTCATATTGGAAAGGAAGAAGTAAAAGTATCTATACTTGCAGTAATCTTGTATATAGGATTCTACAGATCCACTACAAAACTATTGAACTAATAAATTAGTAAGGCTGTATACAAGATCAGTGTACAAAAATAAATTATACTTTATACACTTAATTGATTAATACACTTATAGCAAAATTAAGAAAACCATTCCATTTAAAGTAACATCAGAATGGATGAAATACTTAAAATAAATCTAATCAAAGAAATGTAATTCTTATACTCTGAAAACTACAAAACATTGTTGAAAGAAATAAAAGAACATTTAAATAAATGAACAGACATCCCCTTTTCATGGATCAGATTTGATATTGTTAATATAGCAGTACTCACCAAATTGATATACAGGTTCAATTCAATGCCTGTCAAAATCCCTAGAACTTTTTTTTTTTTGCAGAGATGGAAAAACTCATCCTAAAATTCATATGGAAATTCAAGGAACCCAGAATAGCCAAAAATAAATCTTGAAATAAAAAGAACAAAGTTGAAAGACACCTCCCAATTTTAAAGCTTACATCATAACTACACCAATCAATGTAGTATGTAATTGGCTTAAGGATAGATGACATACAGATCAATGGAATAGAATCTAAAGTCCAGAAGTAAACTTCATGTTTATAGTAAATTGATTTTTCAACAAGGGTGTCAAGACCATTTAATAGGGAAAGAATGATCTTTTAAACAAATGGTGCTGGAAAAAAAAAATATGAATGAAGTTGGACCCTGCCTTGCACCATATACAAAAAAAAAAAAAAAAACTTTAAATGATTGATTAAACAAATTACAAATTGTAGTAAAACTACAAAACTCTTACAACATAGGTGTAAGTCTTCGTGATTATGGATT